AGATTGCACTTAAAATATTGATTTCTGGCTTCTCTTTGAAAACATCAGAAAATGTGGCTGACTACAAACACATCCCACATCACAACAGCTGGAGCTGGGCAGGCGCTGCTCCCTTAAGAGCTTGGATGAATTCTGGAATTCACCACAGTCCCTGCTACCCCCATCATCTCCTAGCAAAGTCAGTTACTAAGCCCATAGAGATTAGAAATGCATTCATTGTTCTGTGTGGGCGGAAAATGGGGTGCTGGGGCCAGGTGGATAAGGGATAGGGGATTTTTTTTTGGGGGGGTTGATGAAATGTTCTAAAGTTTATTGTGGTAGTGGTTGAAGAAATTCTGTGAGTAAAGTAAAAGCCATTGAACTGTGTGCTTTAAATGAGTACATTTATGGCACGTGAATTATCTCAATAAAGCAGTTTTTAAGAATGCAAGTGTGATTTGCCATTGCCCTTGCAGTACTGGCTTTCTGATAGCAGGAGATATTTCTGTAGGTGCAAGCCTATCAGAAAGGGAGAAAATGAAAGTAGACTGAGAAGATTGTATCTTATAAGAAACATGCAAGAGGCCAGCGTTGTGGTGTAGTGGCACTAGTTCATGTCTTAGCTGCTCCACTTCCCATCCAGCTCCTTGCTAATGGCCTGGGAACACAGCAGAACATGGTCCAAGTGTTGGGCTCCCTGCACCCACAAGGGAGACCTGGATGAAGCTCCTGGCTCCTGGCCTCAGCCTGGCTCAGTCCTGGCTGTGGCAGCCATCTGGAGAGTGGACCAGCAGATGGAAGACCTGTCTCTTGCTCTGTCTCTCTCTCTCTCTCTCTGTAGCTCTGACTTTCAAATAAATAAATAAACCATTTTTTTTTAAAATGGAAGCAAGCACATCTCTTTGTGAGAGGAAAGGACTTTTACCTACTCATGTCAAATACCTGGCTTCTTTACTAATGTGCATTACCTCCCTAGCCACTGCCAGCATTTGTTATTAAACAAAAAACTTTGGTCCTCCCTGAGGTCCGTCCCCACGTAGGAAGAGAGGGAGAACAAAGGTGGAGGAGGGAGAGGAATAATTAACGTGAAAGAGGAGAAGCAGAAGAGTCCAGGAGATGGTTGCCAAGGAAGGGGGAAGCTTTATCAACTGCTGACAAGAGGTCAAGGAGTTTGAGGACAGAGAGGTCAGGAGGTCAGAGTGAACCATTCAGTGAGAGGGCTTAGAGAGAGGAAGCCAGGGAGAGATGCAGAGACAGGTGACAAGGGGCCCAGAATGCATTGTTCAGGAGTTAATATTTTATCCTCAGGCACGGAGGACTGTTGAAGGGTTTAAAGGAGAGGAATGATGTGATCAGATTAGCCATCCAGATGATTTGTTTTTGCATTATTTTGGACAGGTTTTGAATTGTGTGCATGATGAACCAAGGTCACTCCAAATTTCATTCTTCCTGCACTCAATTCTTCTTCCATGTGAAATTCCTAGCCCTGTTGAAGCCCCAGTTTTTGATGAACCTCTAACTCATCCCTGTACCTGCTTGAACTAGGAGAAATACGTATGGTTGGTGCTGTGCAACCCACGAATTCTCCATCTTATGACTGTTGTATTTGGGAAGGATAACTATTGTGGAGCTTTCCTGTTCATTATAGACTGTTCAGCGACGTCATCGGTCTCTACTTACTAGATGCCAGCAGTACTCCTAGTTAGGCAAGGCCAAGAAAATTGCCTCCAGCAAAGAATCCCCAAACCACGGTGGTGCATGGTAGCATCTGAGCCCAGAAGCTTAAGCCGTATGCCTGAAAGATGCCTGGCCTGGGAAACAAACAGGACCAAATGCTACTCCACTCTGAGGGGTGCAAATCAGGTGATCCGGTGAGGAGACAACAGACGAGAAACTCCAGGCTTCATTTGGTTTTAGCTAAATCCGTGGACTTCAGCCTCTCTGCACTGATTCTTCTCACTGAAAAGAGACGGCATCTGCACCCTCCAAGGCAGCAAAAACATCCAGCTGTGTCCCTCAAAGGCTAGGATTCCTGCTCTGACCAAGGCCAAAGTGGGCACATCTGGAAACCTCAAGATGTGCTTGATCGGGCAGTGGGAGCTGCCTCCAAAGTGGCTGCCCCGGGGGTGGGGGTGGCGGTGGGGGCTTGCCTCCCTAAGGTGAGTGCGGAGGAGTGGAAGTGTCAAGGGGATCCGTGAAGCCTCGCAGATGGAAAATGGTAGCTGAAGTGCAGCTTGGAGTTGAGTAGGAGCTCAGATAAAGCATCCTTCAGATCCTCCTCCTTATCGGAGAGTCTGAGAAGGTAAAGGAATGTTTCTCTTGGCATAAGGATGTCTAAACCAGATTAGATAGGACCTGTTGAGATCTTCCAGAGTTCTCTGTTGGGTAAGTGTGCATATGAGAGCTGGGAGGGCAAGAGTGTTTTCTGTGTACATGTCCCCATTTCTACATTGGTAAGAAAACCTGAGTGAAGACTCTTATCAAGCTAATAGTCTAACAACTCCATCAGAGTTGCTCTTACTCCGTGGAGTAGCACTGTGCCTGTCTGCCGTGGATGTCGAGCGCCTTGATTTGTTACTAGCCGAGCCATGGCCCCAGACTGCCTTAGAGTGCTGCTGCTTGTTTGTAACTGCGTCATTGCTCAGGCCAATTGTGGCCACTTGCACAGAGGCAAAAGGAAACCCATGCTGGTTTTTATTTTGAGTCTCATATTCCTGAACTCCCCTCCTTCTTCCCCAATTCATCCACTTTTGTGGGAATGAACTGAGCTGCGAGTGATAACCGGACTTTGTTCAGTGAAACTCCATCCCGGGAAAGGACAGCCGTGACTGTGGCGTGGTCTGGTCTCATTTCAGGCTCTTCTGGATCCAGCTGTGTGACAGCTGCACTAGGAAACACCTGGAGTCACAACGTGAACACCCGGCTAATTCTGCGGTACCTTGATTCAAAGAGAAGGCAGGTGAGTGCTTTGAGAGTGCGCCAAGCAGTCTGGTCATCTTCTGGGAGTGTTGGCCACACTGTGCTGGGCCAGCCCACACGGGGGCAGGGCATAGAGAAACCAGCATCCCTGCTTGCTACAACGGCAGTTATGATAGAGTAAAAGGCAAGGCATATGCTGGGAAAAAAAACAGATGCCACAGTTAGCATTCTCCATGGTATTTATAAGTGGCCAGTGACCACACCTCTAGGGAGCTCACATTCTCCATCTCTAAATGATCGTTTTGCTTAGCTGATTTTTTTTTTTGAGGACTGCATAATTTTGTGTCAATTAAATAGTGATCATGCTTTTTCCTGACCTATGTGTGCTTTGAACGCCTTAGGTCAGACAGAGGCTGCTAAGTGAATAGACTGTGGTCTAGCATCTGGGATTTTACATTACTGCGTGGCCAGTAGTTTCAAGGACTTGGTGATGCTATTGGGATTTCTGAAAGCAAGAGCACCTCTCAAAGTGCCCTATCTGTGGTTTCTATCCTGGTCTCAAACAAGAATCCCACCTGGCTTCCAGAAAGGCCTGCTTCCTAACACTTGTCTACCCTTCTTTCCCCATTCCTAAGGAAAAGCCACTGCAGTCTGAGCTCTCTGGTAAAATGTGTCGTCATCAGGATAATTGTTCCTAATGTGGAAGCTCAACTTTATCCTGCTTTGTGGCCAGATCTCATCAAAATCTCTCCTGCAAGCAGGAGGAGGAAGAAGGCAGGGTGACCATCCCGATCGTTGTTGTTGTTGTTGTTGTTTGGAAGTGGCAGAACAAATCCAGGTTATTCATGAAAGGTGTGAAACGCCACATGGTGGTCCTTTCTGCAGGAGACAGCAGGAAGGGGTTACTGCTGTTACCTGCGTTAGGTGAGCTGGCTCCTCTTCCAGGAGGCAGGAATCAGCACAGACATGAGCCTTCGCCTGCTGCAGACACAACTTTCCTAAGGCCCTTGGTTACGGACCAGAGGATTCTTCCGGGCTTGTCTGGGACTGTGTAAATAGCATTCCAGCCCAGTGATGGAGCCAGCTGTGTTGAGATGGAGCTGCTTTGCTTGCGTTCAGGCAGACGTTCCTGAGTTGCCAGGCCCTCACACACTCCTTACCTCCCTGGTGCCTCTGCCTTGACGACGTGACGACGTGCTCTGTCACTGTGCCTTCTCAGTTTGCTGGAACACAACCAGAAATACTCCTGGAGAACCTCATGACCTTTGGTTGGTACTCTGGTTAGGAAATCATGTTAAATGAATGGGCGTTCTTTAAGGACTACCAAGAACTCCTATCTAAACCACCTTAGAGGAAGTAGAATTCCTTGTGAATCAGTATTGATTTGTGTAGTTTCATGGATCATTGACCTACTCCTTGAAAACTCGCAGTTTATCTCTGTTTCAGATTTTAGATAGCATTTTTACTGAAATACACAGATCCTGTGATTTTTCCATCATATACAGTATTCAAGGCTCCCAAATCCTACTTTTACTAACTCCAGTTAGAATTTATAGGTAAATAAAGACGTTTGAGCCACATTTTTCCTTTTTGTTTTTTAAAGTAAATTACCCAGTTGTTTGTATTTTTGTTAGTGTCTACAAAAAGTAGTCAGAAGAGCAAACGCTATTATTCCACATCCCTTTGGTGGTGACTGGGGACTTGGGGGGCTCTTGGCTCTTGGCTGATAAGGTCACATGCAGACCCCCTGGTCACAAGAAGCACCAGGAGCAGGGTGTGGATGGATCAGTGACAGTCTATCAGCTCGTATCCTATTAGACGGGTCAGTGGTGTTGTCTTAATCTACAAAGGACAACTCGTTACTATCATTACTAATCACTCAGAGGCAGACCTAAATGCCTGTGAGTCAAGTTTCCAAACAATAATTAGAACTCAACATAAAATATGGTCAGTGTTAAAATGGCAAACCCAGGCAAAAGAGGACCTATTTAATTACCCATAGAAATGACATGCCTTTGGGGACCAGTTGGTGAGTTTGTGGCCTAATAAGTAGGATAAAGTTTGATACAGAAGACATGTCTCTATGTGATGACCAGCCTTACCTCCACAGAGGGTGCTCCTGGCAGTCTACTGAGTCTTCTGTGGTCCTATTTCATAAGGAAGTATAGAAGCCATATGAGAATAACCCTTTTGGAGGAATATTTGCACAAAACAGTTCTATAAAGCTAGCCCTTTTTTAATTGCACTAAATAACACTTTTTTTTTTATGAACCGAATGACGCTTTTTTATTACACTACTTAGTAGGAGCACATACCTGGATCCTTCTAGCATGGTTAGGCTTATGGAATACCAGCCACTGGGAGAAGATACCTAGGTTTTTTTTTTTAAGTGTTCTTGTGGGAGTGGGGAGGGGTTTCCCAGCGCAAGCAGAAGCCGCTCTCCTGAGGGATCAAGGCTATGGAATGAGGATTATGTTGGATCCTGTTTCCATGACATTGAGCTCTCCGCCAGGGCTCTTGCATGTGAGGCTTAGTCTGAGATCACAGGGCTGGGCGGGGTCAGGTCCAGCTGAGATCTCTGAGCTGATTAACCCAAGAGCTGAATTGTACTGTCGGAGGGAAGGCGTCCTCCCCGCCTGATTATTTTCTTTACACCCTGGAAAGTTTGTAAAATTATATAACTGAGAAAGAAATCTCCTTATCAGGGCACAAGCCAAGTTCATTCTCTTGTTTACCCTGCTGTAGTGTTTGCAGAAACCCTCTTAGGAAGCTGGGAAACATTTTCTTTTGGATTAATTTAGCTTTTTTTCCATTTGACTTTTATTTATTCTTTTCCTACTCTGCCTCAGCCCTGCCCCACCCTTTTTGCAACATTTTTATTCTTACCAAAGGCATGTCCTTAGCGTAGGATGAACATGGCCTCTACTAGGGTTTTGTTGTTGCCGCTGCTGTTTTTAAATCATCAAAAATGTGTTTGGGTCTACCATGTGCTTGGCATGAGGCTGAAAAAAATCAGAAGACATAGTTTTTGCCCTCAAGGTCCTCTGGTCTAGGATGGAAGCCTGTGTGTTTGTGTGTGTGTGTGTGTGTGTGTTTTAAAAGTCCACAAAAAATTTAAAAATAAGTTTATTTTAGTAAAAAATAAATTGTGAAATCCATGCTTAGTTTTTTCATAATATGCATTTTCCATGAACTTTTAAAAAATATTTATTTATTTGAAAATTTTATTTGAAAGAGAGAGAATCTATCTTCCATCCACTGGTTCACTCCATCAATAGCTGCATTAGCCAGGTCTGGACCAGACCAAAGCCAGGAACCAGGAACTGCATCCAGGTCTCCCACGTGGATGGCAGGGGCACAGGTACTTGGGCCATCATCCACTGCTTTCCCAGGCACAGTAGCAGATCAGATGTAGGGCAGCCAGGACTGGAACCAGCACTCTAGCTTGGGATCCTAGCATTGCAAGTGGTAGCTTAACCCACTGCACCACAACAATGAACTTTTTGAAGACCCTTTGTATATATGCATATGCTTGTACTCACAAAAACACTATGAATAATCAACATGCGATGTTGTCACAACACAATGTTTGGTTTACTATTTAATAATTGGTTAAAACAACTGCTTTGGATCCAAAGGAAAGTGAAGTCATCAGAGATGCCGCAAGTCCTTTCAGGGTGGGTGGAACCTGAGTGTCACCTTAACCCAGGGGCTCTCAAGCCGGCTGCACTGCAAATCCATCACAGGAACGCTGAGGAAGTACCCAGGCCAGGGCCTCACCCCAACCAGTGCAAAGTCGTTGCAGCAGTGAGTTGGGCCGTGGTAGAGGGAAGGCATCTGTGTTTATTTGCAAAGCTCCCCCGAGTGATTCTACTGTGTAGCCCAGGTCAAGAAGCTCTGCCATAAATAATAGATGGGGTTAGGTTCATCAGAAAGGGGAGATACTGCGGTGGGCGACAGCAGCCGGGGAAGACAGTCTCCCATGAGCATGGCACAGGCTGGGTTTGCCTTCTGACAAGGACCGGGTCTGTGCGCTCATTCACTTGACAAACCTGCGCCTAATCACCTCTTCTCTGCTAGTTATTGAGTAAGATGCTAGAGATTCAGGGGTGGGCCTTATGGCAAAGCAGATTAACCTACTGCCTGGGATGCCTGCATCCCGTTTCAGAGTGCCTGGGATCCACTTGGGATCAAGACTGGCCTCAGCTACTGACCCAGCTTCCTGCTAATGCACTTGGTAGGCTGCAGATGATGGCTTAAATACTTTTGCTACCCATGTGGGGTACCAGGGTGGAGCTCCTGGCTCCTGGCCTCAAACTGGCCCAATCCCAGCTGTTCTGGGTATTTGGGGAGTTAACCAATGGGTAGAATACTCTCTCTCTCTCTCTGCCTTTCAAATAAAAAAGAATTTAAAAATATGCTAGAGATTCAAAAGATGAGTTAGAGATAGTTGATACTGTCTAGTTGTTCACAGTCTACTTGGGGAAACAGATAAATCTGGAACCATTATGTCTTGTAAGAGCATCGTGAACTAGTAAGCAGGGAGGCGATGGAGCCCCCCCCCCGGCCCCCAACCTGCTAAGGAAGGTTCTGGAGCGATTAATGAGCAGCTGCAAGCAGAGTGGACTGGCCGGGCCCTTCATCTGGAGAGCTCCTACTGTAACGAGGGACCTTGAAACAATGGACTGGAAACACAGGAGTGAGGGTGGTTATATTTGAGAGAATGATGGAAAAACACGATGAAACATTCATTCTCTTTCTCATCAAATTCTCATGAAGTCTGATCCTACAAGCCACATATGGGATTATATAAATTTTCAAGTGCCCTAGAAGGAGTCATGAAGTAAATTAATCCTGACTAAGCCTCACACCCCCTTGATGAAATAAATATTATGACTCTCTGATTTCAACAAATTGGAAAGAGGTGACTTTTTTCATATAAGAGGTTTATTTAAGTGAACTTTATAATAATATTTTCATCTTCTATTTAGAGGGCACCGTGAAGTTACAGGACACTCCGGGGATGAGCATTACGTCCTCAGTAAATTGTTGACAAGACTGGTCATATTACCCAAGCCCCCGATCCTCCCGGGAGCCCACGGGCTTCGCTTCAGTCCTAAGTTGTTTTGCATCCTGGAAGCTCTCAGTGTTTCCTTTCTGGGGATCTTCTCTCAATGTCTCTTCTGTGTTTTCAAAGACTTGAAGCCTAGCGCTGTGAAGACAGCACGTTCCCCAGCCTTAATCAGTCCCTCTGCTCAACACCACAGGTGCGCTTGCCTGTTGTTTCCATGCTTCTCCTTCTGAGCTCTGACTTAGAAGCCTCTGGAGGTCTGTGAGTCAATTTATCAGTGCACCTTCAGAGGCACGGGCAGTGCCTGCCACTTATACTTTCAATATGTTTTTTTTTTTTTTAAGAGATAGACAAAAAGAAACACACTTCTGTGTCTATATGGGAACCCAGTCTTGAGAAAGGACATACTGCATATTGAAATCACCCTTCCCCACTGGAATTGAGCTTTGCAGTTGAACAGTTCCTTTAAAGTATTGGTAATTACTCATTGAAAAGACCAACAATCAAACCTTGACAATTATAAGCAGATACCACTATAGATGTGCTGTAAGAATACTTTCTTCTCAACCAGCCTGCTGGGGGCTTATGAGAGAGTGGAAGCCAGATTTCCCCCAGAATCCTAATTTGGATTCCTTTGTATAAGCAAGCAGAACACTACACAGACCCAGGGCGAGTGGGATAGGCTTCTGCAAGGGCTCTCGGGAAACAGGCGGCATGAGGACTTTGGGGGGAGGGTAAGAAGTCTTTGTTGCTTAACTTAACTTCTCCCAGCTACAGCTGGAAGGCTTAGCGCGGGGGGGGGGGGGGGGGGGGGGGGGGGGGGGGGGACTAAAGGACCCGAGAAAAGATGGATACGCAGAAGGGTAGATCTGGGGTAGAGCATTTGTCTCGTTATCCGTATTCACCCAAAGAAATACATCCAAGATGGGGTTTTGCCTGATGTGAGCCATATTGCATGTCTTCCTACTCCCAGATTCCTCCAAAATGAGTTCCAGGCATAGATACCCTAACTCAGAAGCGAAGCGCGTCCCTCTCCTTCGCCCTCAGGGGAAGGAGTCCAGGCCATGGTGTATCCTTGTGTTTTCTACCCCAGTTCATCTGCGTGTGTGTGTGTGTGTGTGTGTGAGAGAGAGAGAGAGAGAGAGGATCTCGTCAGAGGAGAGGTTTGGTTGTACAGCAGGGGTGGGAGAATATTCTTTCTCAGCACGAATATCTACCAAAAAAAAAAAAAAATAGCCACGGGAACATAGACTGCTGGCCAAGTGCATTCCCCGAGTGTAGACGTTCCCTCCCTCTTCAGAGCTGCTCAAGTGTGAATTCTGAGCCCTGGGCCACGCTCTGCCATAGCAGCACTCCAACAGGTATTGGAGAAAAGGAGCACTCACAAGGGCAACTTTAAAGGGATTCCTTTTTCAGATCACCAGGTAGTGATTTGGAATTGAAGGACATCCCACCGGGAGTTTGTGGTGACAGGAAATGAGTGTGGCCAGTTGCTGCTCACAGAGCATAAAGACAGGCTCCACCTGAGAAAGAATAACCCATCCCCGAGTGGACACGTGATGTTTGCACCTCCACATTGGCTAACAATGTTGATATCTTTCCTATTCCCTGCAAACAACTCCCTGGACCTTCCTTTAAAAAAAGGCAGTGTATGCAAGAAATCAGCATTTCTGAATGGGCTCAAAGTACAACTTCCTTTTACAGAGATTCCATTGGGAATTACCGGTTAAGGATACGTGGGAGTAATTGCTGTCTGGCTTCCTCTGGGGGCTCCCCGGCTTCCTCTGGGGGCTCCCCATCTTCTGATGCTGTGGCCATGGTAGCCCAGATATCTTCACTAAGGGGAAAAGCCATCTCTCTCTGTAGAGATTTGGAGTGCTATGAGGCCAATGAAAGTTCAGCTATAAATAAAAAACAAGGGTGGAAGAACTGCCATAGAGGTTTCAACATTTTTTATCGAGTAGTCATGAAATTAATTGTTACCACTATTTATAAAAAGAAAAGGCACTTTAACATCAGAGAGTCAAAAGGACGTATCTGTTCATAATAATGAATTCCTTGAATACATTAATTTCTATGGCAAACTTAGCACCTGTCCTTATTTTTCTCCTTGACCATCACAGGCAAAATGATCCATCCTCTCACAGAACGCTGATTTGGTGTGTTTTTTTTTGTTGTTTTGTTTGTTTGTTTGTTTGTTTTTTGAGAGAGAGACAGAAAAGTCTTCCTTCCGCTGGTTCACTCCCCAAATGGCCGCTACGGCTGGCGCTGCGCCAATCCGAAGCCAGGAGCCAGGTGTTTCTTCCTGGTCTTCCATGTGGGTGCAGGGGCCCAAGCACTTGGGCCATCCTCCCCTGCCCTCCTGGGCCACAACAGAGAGCTGTACTGAAAGAGGAGCAACCAGGACTAGAACCTGGCACCCATATGGGATGCTGGCACTGCAGGCGGAGGACCAACCAAGTGAGCCACGGCACCAGCCCAAGTTAGTGTCTTTAATGAGCCACTTTTTCACTGGTGTTTTCTCACCTCTCTCCTCCAGCTCTGACCAGTTTTATTTTTACGTACTGTTTGTCGATTACCAAATCTTCTTATGCAGTGACCCTCTCCCAGCTCTGACTTGCTAAGTAAACCAGGCCAAATACCTGGGTGAGAGATTTCTAGAGAAATCTGAGCTGTTACAGGAAGTCAAAGAGACCAGGGTTTTGGGACTGCACTGAAGACGCTGTGATCCAGCTAGGAAAGAAAAATGTTTGCCGTTGGGAAACAACATAGGAAACAGCTATGAGGTCTCTTGGACAGGCAATGACCTGAGAGTCAAGGACGTTGAAATTTACTTGGCTCAGTTAAGAATGAAGGCTGGACAGGATGTTGTGTGTTAGCCTTGGTTGGTTAGCCGTGAGTGAGAAGGAAAAGGAGCAATGTCCTTGGCTG